CTGGTGCCTAAGACTCTCAATGCAGGTATGGCTAGGGATTTTTGCCTTATTTCTTGCTGCTCGATTGTATATAAAACCATTACTGGAATCATTGTAAATCATTTAGCTAGCTACTTTCCAGACATGATTTTGCCTAATCAGTCTGTTTTCATTAAGGGGCGTATCATAGTATATAATACCCTGTTAGCACAAGAAATAGTTAGGGGATACTCTCGCAGATCACTTTCCACTAGATGCGCTCTTAAAATTGACCTTAGGAAGGCATTTGACTCTGTATGATGGGATTTTTTGATGAAAATTCTTGCTGCCTTGGGGCTTCCTGAGGTATTTAGGGCTTGGATTATGGCTTGTATGGCTAGTGCAAGGTTCTCTGTGGCATTTAATGGGAGTTTAGTGGGGTTATTTAAAGACAGGAGGGGAATAAGACAGGGTGACCCACTGTCCCCTTATCTCTTTGTCATGGTTATGAATGTGTTGTCTCATTTGCTTAATGTTGCTTATAGGGATGGTTAATCCGGTTCCATCCCAAGTGCAAATGTGTTTCTCTCACTCATCTTAGCTTCGCTGATGATTTACTATTTTCTGTCATGGTGATAAGAGCTCAATATTGGGTGTTGTTGGGGTCCTGGGGGTATTCTATGAGCTGTCTAGTATATAGTTGAATGCTGGTAAAACAGAACTGTTTGCTTGTGGGGTGCATAATGATGTCTTGAGCGGGGTGCAGGCAGTTACTGGTTTCAATTTGGGCAAGTTCCCTGTTAGGTACCTTGGCGTGCCTTTAGTCACCAGGAAATTAGCTACCAAGGATTGTATCCCTTTGATTGATAAGATCAAAGCACTCTAAATATGTGGTCTAAATTGAAGCTAAGCTATGGTGGTAGGCTGCAAGTCATCCAATCTGTCCTTTTCAGTATTTCTAATTACTGGTGTGGACAACTGGTTTTGACTAATGAGGTTATTAAATAGATTGAGCAGCTTTGTATAAGATTCTTTTAGAAGGGTGATGACACTCCTATTAAGGGGGCTAGAGCCAGCTAGCAACAAATGTGCTGGTTAAAATCGGAGGGTGGTTTGGGTTTAAAGAGTCTAGGTTGCTGGAACAAGGTGTGTTGTTTCTTACTGATCAGGAACATTTAGCAAATGCAGGGTCACTCTGGGTGGCCTGGATCAAAGAATATACTATGAATGAGACTGTTTTTTGGGAGGTTAGTCCCAAGCCTCAGCTTACCTGGATCTTGAGAAAACTTCTTAAGCTCAGGAATGTAGTTGCTGACTTATTTGGCAGTGTAGTGGACTGGAGCATGGTTAAAAGCAAGTGGGTGTGGGAGAAGATGAGGGACAAGAGGGAGAAGGTAAGATGGGAACATCTGATCTGGTTCCCCTTACATGTTCCAAGAATGTCAATTGTTGCTTGGATGGCTGTTTTGAATAGGCTCCCAACCAAGGACAGACTCATCAATATGGGAATGTAGTTGGATGGATGATATGATCTCTGTAATGTTGGGCTAGAAGGCAGAGACCACTGTAATACCCTAATTTTTTCCGGACAATTTTAAAGTCACTTGAAGATGATCGAGAATTAATGTGAAGATATTTGTGCTCGATGAGAAATTAATTCGAATGACATGGGGGCGTTGATGAAAGATGAATGGAAGCTTGCATTTGGATTAATATGAATCGAGAAGCTTTAGGTGCTGAATTGGATTGTAATCATATTTATTTCAGTTTGTAATTCAAGAGATAAATTGGAACAAAAGCAATCGATAAAGCAAAGCGATAGAAATATGAAGATTCATGAGGTACATTCAAAGCAGTCCAGTGGACAGTGTACGTCATCCATATTGATCGCCAATTTTGAACATGTTAGAAGCATATTTGGATGATAAAGTCTTCTTAACATTTAATCCTCTATCTCTTAGCTTTCTAACGCACTTTGAATCACATCAATCCGATATCGGTAGCTCGAGATATGCTCAGATAAATGAAGATTGTGCAAGCTGGAAAATTAATACGGGATTTACGAATTTTCAACAGACCTTTGTTCACTTGCACAATAGACACGTGGGAACAGCACTAAGGAGTGTCTAAACCAGCTGAAATTGGACATAAAACAGCTCATACTTGTTGACCAGCCACCACTCACGCATGATTAGAGGGAAATCATACACACCAAATTCCACTCATGCTCCACTCACCCTCAAATGCTGCCCATGCGTGTAGTTTGCACAAACCCAGGCTTATGCCATTTTTTTTTAATTCCCACATGAAGCACTAATGGGAGAATATTACTCCACTACCTATATTTAATAAGATATTGGATATAGCATGAAGAAAAAGGGGGGGAAGCAAATGAACGTGGGGAGAATGGTTGGTTTAATGAATTATAATTTTGCAACTTAAAAGGGGAACCATTCACCAAGGGAGGGGATCGGCAATTCAAAGGGGAGGAGGCCATTTTTTCAAAGGAGGGGTTCACGAATAGAAGTCTACGAAGGGGTGGCATACGTCCGAGCAATATTTGGTTCCATTATTGGTTGCGACATCCAGGGCAGTGAAATCGAAGCAAATATTTTGAGTTTTGTAAGCAAACAAACATATCTTAAGTTGTTGGTTGTCTTTGGAATTAATAATGACGTTCTTTAAGTTTAGTAAAAATAGAATGAATCGATTCGTTTAAACCCTTCCATGTCTGTTTGATTTTGTTCGTTTAGATTCATGATTTTTGCTACTATTATGCTTTAGAAATCTGTGTGCTTAGTTTTAGGTTCTTTTAATTAAAGTGACAGACTTGTTTATGATCTTTGTCGGTTATTGTATCATATACTTATTTCATATGTGTATTAGTTCATAGTTTGATGAAAAATGATTACTTGATGTATGATTCATCACGCATGATGTGGGTTAGTTATGTTATTAATATTTTGTTTCTATAAGTATTCCTTTGTCTTTAGCTCATTTACATTAAGCTTAACATATTAGATTTTTAAATTTATTAGCATGAAATGTCTTGTAAATATGGTTATGTAATTCATGTGCATTTTTTTAATGCTTTGTTTTCCAAATCACGTATAGTGCAATTGCAAGTAAATGTATCTATGTATAATTACTTCATGCTAAATGCATATGCTTTATAATGTACAAATGTCTTGCCATTTATCATCATTGTTTTCCACATGGCACAAATGTATATAGACACCGTTTCTTGTATTTGTTACGTAGAACATCCTCCCGTGCATAACTCACCATATTACATAGTTTGACTAAGGGTAATATCCTTTTAGTTTAAAACGTTTTAAGTGGGTTGTCTTAACTGATTAGATATCCGCTTTTAACGATTTTAAATTAAAAGTATATTCCATCAGTGACACCGAAGAAATTGATTTATCACTTTTAAAATTTGGGAACGGAAGAAAAAGAAATATTCGGCTATTTAAATTTATCGAGAAAAGATAGTTAGAACTTATCTAAGATCTGGTCTCGATATTTGTAAATAATCGAATATTCTTTATCTTTCTAAAGGCCTGTTAATTTTAATTTAATCTATTTTGGTGTTTTTGATAGTTGTAAAATTCATGTGTTGTTTTGTCGGGGATCATAAACCAAATTAAAATCGAATTTGTAAATTTCATTGCAAAGACATTAATTAATCGACAAGGTACCGATTTAGGGTGTTGTGGGGGTGCTAATCCTTCCCCACGTGTAACCGACTCCCGAACTCATTTTCTGGTAACGCAAACCTAAATTTGTTGTTTTAATTAAAATTAATTTTTATTTAAAATTGCAACATTTTTGGGTGTCCAATCACACCCTAATCAAAGATTTGTGGCGACTCTTCGAACCTGTGTTTTATTGTGAATGAATTCCCAAATTTTTGAAACGAGAGGTTTTTCTAAAATCACATTGTTTTTAATTAAAAATCAATCGAAAAGAGAATAATTAAAAATGATGCGGTTTTTAAAATCTCGCCCCCACCGTTTAAAAATCGTTTCGACAACCACCTTTTCAATGACTGTGCTTTTGTTGGAGGAATTTGGAGTAAGTTTCTACAGGCCTGTAGAATTCCTGACAGGGTTCTGTGCTGAAGTGATACATTGGCTTGAGCAACAGCCAACTTCAAGGGTAAATCCTTGATAGTCTGCATTTTGAAGCTAGTCTGGATTAGTCTTTTATACTTTGTCTGGGAATAACGTAATTTCAGGCGTTTTAGAGGTTGTTCTCAGACAATTGATGATATTTTTGTAAGTATTAGAAGGTTTGTTAGTGCTAGGTTACATGGTTGCAGAATTAACAAGTCTGACAGAGTTAATCTTCAGCTTTGTCTGGAATGGAGCATTGGCTAGTTTGTTGGTGACTGTTGAAAAATGTTGTGGGCCACTTGGTTGTTCGATGTATATGCAGCTCTAAGGGCGGTTGTGCCACGGGAAGCTTGTTTTCTCCTTTGCATTTTGTTGCTTTGCTTTCTTTCTTTGTTTATTTTTGGTTTAACTGTTTTGGAATGGGTTGTCACTTAGGCTGCTAGTAGGGGTTGGGTGTTTATTGGGTTTTGTAGCTTGTATTGCTTGTAGCACGTTACTGTTCCTTCTTTTGGGTAATAAAAAACAAATTATCCAAAAAATATTTGGTGCGTTGATGTCCATTCAACAATTTGTTCTTGGGATAACAATATGTACCATCTGGTTTATGAGCTTTGATAAACCTGAACTGAAAACCTTTGCAATCGCACAGCTGCAAGCAAATTTGCTTGCAATCCTCCAAGGTGACATTAGGATACATGTTGAAATCACAACCATAGAATTCAACAAGGCGGAGTTTGAGGAAATCAAGCTGATCAGTTTGGTTACACGAAAGCGGAAACTCTGGTTCACAACCGAGGGACCAGTCATTAGGCTTCTTCGGCTTTTAACCTGGACTGCAACGGTATTTCCTCCCAAAACTATGACTATAATTGCATATGCTGTTTGGTCCACAACATCCATGAACCATGCACGGTTGAGGGAAGGCTATCCATGAAACAACCCAAGCTTCACCATCCTCTTTTTGACTATACGATCTAAGATCCCATCAGAATCCAGTTTCAGCATCCTTGAAATATTTGAACCATAATCAGCTGACAAGAAAGTAAAATTATCAGTCGAGCTAAATTTACTCAAAGAATCGAGAACAGCTATTTTGGAGTTGTTGAACGTGGATCTTCCAGCTTCCCATCTCAGAAGCCATGGACTTGGCCAGTAAACGCTTGAAAACTCAGGACCTTTGTACAAATGGCAAAGCACATTATCAGTGTCGAAGTAAAGCTTATAATAACCCGAGGAGTAGTTCCCTTGGCTTCTCGTTGAGATGAGATTTGAATTCTCATTGAATGGTTGAAGAGGAAGCAGAGTATCTGTGGGTGAATCGTAGCTTTGCCACAGTAAAAGACCTACCGAGTCGCGCAAGGCAAGGTTGCCACCATTTTCAAGCTTCAATCGAAGAGGTGTAGCCGACACAGTTTTCGTTTCCCAAACTATGATATGACCAGCATCTTTTAAAACAAGGTTACCCGATCTCAATAGACAAAGCTTCGAGGATCTGCCATTGACTGGTTGGTCCCGATTCGCCATCCAAACTATGGTGCAACTGAGAGCACTGCAGGTTGGTTTATTGAACCATATCGCAAATGAATAAGCGTTCTGCCCAACAATGTGAAACCCAGCACCGAGTCTTCCATCAGGTGAAGTCAAAACATCAGCCGGAGCCTCCGCTGATAGTGATGAGCCAGCCCGCAGACCATCGGAGAGTGAAATTGAAGGAGTCCATAATAAAACCGAAGAGAAAACAAGTAGAATCAATGGAGTAGCCATGGATTTTGCGAAGATTTGAAGATTTGGTTTTTGTTATCTTCAGAGGGAAACTGATTTCTGCTTTCTGGTTCATCAACAGGGTTACTCAGGAAGAAATCTAGATGACATGGTTGCCTTCGTCATTCAATTCCATTGAAAACAACATTTGCACGAAGGCTTCTACCAGTGAATTTTCCATTTGTCTAGATTATTAAGCTGCTCTACCATTGTTTTGAAAATCGGATCAGATCGACCGGTTCAATCAGGAACCGTGTGTTAGTCCGGTTCAATTTAAACCGGTTGAACCGCTATTAGTGAACCGACCAGAATCACTCAACCGTTCGAACCGGACCGGTTGAAAAATGGAAAAAACCGGAAATTTTGTTTTTTTTTTTTTAAATTAAACCAACGTCATTTGTTAAACGAGCCAAGTCGTACTCGAGTATTGCTGAGCTCGACTCGAACTTGAAAACTTTAAAAGTAAGCTCAACTCGACTCAAACTCACAAGCTAAAAATTATCAAGTTCAACTCAAACTCGAAATATAATATTGAAACTTGAACTCAAAAAGGATTGAACTAAAAAAAATTTATAAACTCGATTGAAGCCTAAAATTCGAGCTTGATTAAAGTGAAAGAATAGTTCACTCAATGCTCACCAAAAGGCTCTATGATTTTAAATGTCAAATTATCTCTATTATTTATAGAAGTTAGTTTCTTAGCAATGTAAGATTGTTTTGTTCTCATATTTTTACTCTTTAGACTTTTGGGATGCTCTTCTATGTTTCTTAGTCATGTGGGATTGTTTTTAAAAAAAAAATTAAACCAAACAATATCATTTTGTTATGATTTTTTTAACTCCAAATTTATTTTTTAATTATAGTTATATAATTATATTTATTATTTAATATGTTTTACCTTAAATATTATGTTGTAATTAATTTGAATCATTTTGTTTCACTTGATTTTATGGTTTTTAACTTATATGTTATAACTTGCTTTGAATATGACTTGTGATATAAAAAATTATTTTTATTAAATATTTTTGGTATTATTTTAATTTTTTTAAATAATTATGACGTCGTCCGATTCTTTCGATCGATCGAACCGATTTAACCGGTTAAACTAATAAACTGATAACATAACCGGTTTGCTAATCAATCCGGTTCTGAAAACATGTGCTTCACTCGATTTTCATTTTGTACAAGCCGACGCATCCAGACAAATTTGGTCAATGACTCTGGTGAATATTAATAAAGAAAAAAATAAAGATACAATTAAAAAGCAAATAATGTCAAGAGTCGTTCATTCTTAGCTATAGGAAAAGGCAACTACTGACAACAATATTTTATTATTTCATTGATATCAATCATAAAAATTGATGTTAATACATAATTTTTTTGTTTAAAGTAATCGACCCAATAATTTCTTTTGGGGATCAGAAATTATTTGAACATAGAAAAGGATAAAACTATATTTTATTTAAACTAAATCTATACATAAATTTTTTTGATCCATTTTATTGTTATAGATATCATTATTTAAATTTAAAGTACCATTTAAATTTAAATTCATATAATTAAACTGGATTATATATGTATATATATTATATTGAATAATTACTACGTAAATGAGGAAAAATTGTTCCTAATAAATATTAAACTTATAATTTAAATGAGAGAAAATATTTCAAACAAGAGCTCCACATTCTCTATCTTAAAAATTGTTGACATTTTTTAAATAGTTTTAAGTGGAGAAGGTGATGTAGTGCAAAAACTCCAAATATTGAGTTTGGAATCGTTCAAGATTACTTTACAGATTTTAAATAAAATGTATTTAATTCATCATTAGTGGCAAACCAATTATTTATTACTCATTCACAGATTAATTTTAAAATATCTCCATACTCTTCAAGTTTCAATATGCAACAGTACAATAACAGATACAATTATGACCGCTTGGCTCCCACCCCCAGAAAATTTGAATGTGCTGTTTGAACCCAAGAATTAAACATATAATTAATATTAATAGGATTGGTTCAAGTAGTAAGTGTTTAATATCACTTAAACAGATCTTGAGTTCGAGTTTTTATATATGTAAATATAATTCGCTGAAAAATTCATCCACCACAATCGGGTGTACGACCCAAATCGATTCAGATTTATCAACAACAAAAAAACATATAATTAATATGCTTGATATTAACCCAAAAAAACATATATTAATTAATTAATTAATTAATTAATTAAAGAAAAAAATCCTCCAAGAATGGGAACACAACATGAGATCTTAAATGTTATCCTTAATATATTTATTCACTAAATGCTTATTTATAGTAAGACGAATAATTGAATCAGTTTGATATTTATAAAGAAAGGTAAACTACATTAAATGGTCATTGAGCTTTCAGGGTGTTTGTATTTTGGTCATAAACTTTCAAAACTTTTAATACATCCACTGAACTTTAGTTCACTTTAAGTTGGTCATTGTCATTTCAAAATTTTTAATACATTTTCATCAAACTCTTTTCTAAGATTTTGGTGAGTTTAGGGTGAACATGAAAACTAGACCTCTAACAACAAGTACTGAAAAAATTTGAATTGTAAGACTAAGAAAAATAAATTAATTTGTTTGTAAAATGTATTTTTTTTATTAAGCTTAACAAACTATCTAATAAATACATTAAATTTCAAATAGAAAACATTACGGAATTTAATTAAACACCCAACTATTGACACAAAACAAGTATAACCCTATTTTGATAAAAATAATTATAATATTAAAATTGAAAAATTACACGTAAGCATATCAAGTAATTAATGTGGGTGGACAAAACAGAAATAAAACATATCATATAAATAAAATTGAAAAAATAACAATAACTGAATGACCCAAAAAAAGTAAAGTAAACAAATGAGTTATCAAGTAGGTAATTTACTCATTTTTTAAAATTATATAAGGGCTAAATTTTGGGCCCTTAGCAGGTTCCCCTCCTGTCCAGGCTCAACTACGGGCCTAATTTTAATTGTCCACGAGTAAACCTTCTTCTCCGGTTCACGACACCGAGTCCACCGTCCACCACCTCACCATCTCCTCGAACTATCATTTTTAGTATTCCATCTATTAGTTTTGTTCCGTTTTGGTCACTCAATTATTTTTTTAAATTATATCTAACGTAACGTTTTGATTTCATTTTGGTCACTCATCGTTAAAAAATTAACAGAATCACTGACCTGAAATTTTTTATTTTTTTCAATGATGACATGACATTATCTTATTGTGACACATCAGCATCATCGTTAATTTTATAATGACGGGTGTCCAAAATGAAACCAAAACTAAAAGTTAGGTATGATTTTGAAAAAAATAAATAAATGGGTGACCAAAATGAAACAAAAGTGATAATTGGGATACTAAATGTGTACTTTAACTAAAAAATATTTAGTGTTTTAGGTTAAATTAGACATTATTTAAGGAAATACATCAAAAGTTAAAGTAAGGTCGTTATCATCAGATACAGACTTTTTTCGTGTGTTGCTAGAAGATTGAATGTTTATCTTGTATTTTACTAAAGTCATGTTTAGTTATCAACAACTTTGATGCCGAAACGTCTTTTTAATATTAAGGGTAAAAGTGAAAAGAAAAATGCATCAAAGACCAAATTTATACTTTGATTTTCGTTATGTGATGAAGATACCATCAAATCATAACTTTGATCCGTGCTGATACGGCAGACTGATTGACCCTACAAAAGAATGACTGCCCTTTGCTAGCAACGACCACAACTATTACAGAAGAACGAACTCAAATAGAAAGCAACAAAAGTGAACAAAATAAATAAATGAATAAAACAAATGGAGGATGCCTAGGAATAAGTTGCAGGGTTTGCATTTGACCCTAGCTTAATGTCCCTTGCCACCGGAACTTGGACCTGAGTTCGGAACTTGGACCTGAGTTCGTGACGGCATTGGTGAATGCATGACCTTTTCCTCCTGCACTGGGACCTCCGGTCTTGATCCCTTCAAGGCTCAACCAATCAAAGAAAGGCTCGACCCCTTTGGTTACGGAGTTGCCTCCAATGACATTGAGAGGGCGAGCCGCGTAAGAACCGGGGAAAAGCAACCAAGTTAGAAGAAAAAGGAGGACAAAGAAGGAAGACTTGAAGTTTCCGGCCATTAGAATCTGCTTGATATATATATGCACTAATTCATGCATCTGTGTAATTGGTTTTTGAACTGAAATGAGCTGCTTGATGATGAAAGACTGAGACCTTAGTTTGACCCAACGAAAAAGGCGAGGCATTGAAACACGTGAGAGCCGAGGGCTTTGGTTAGTTGAATGCCGCCATCTTTCCTTTATTATTAAGGAATGAAGTCATGTACACCATATTTTATTTAGGGGCTGCTAATATTTTTCTTTTTTTAGTCCAGTAATAAAACTTATACCATTGCATATGTTAGCAAAAGCGATGCGGCACAAATTATATAGATCATCACTGAATTTTTTTCTTTTTATTTTATTCACGGAACATTAAAAGTCTTAAATTTATTCATTAAATTTTAAAATTAATTTTTTTTTATCATTTTACCGTTTTCTTTCTAATTATACGATGATATTGCATTTTTTTTGAATTGCCATGTAGACCCTAATTAATATTTTATTAATATTATTTTTTTTATTCACCACCGTCCCTTCACCCATGTTACAACGCCGCCTCTAACTCTCAGACAACCAAAAACAGTGTCTCAACCATACGTTCATCATCCTAAGTCACTGTCGCTTCAACCACACAAATGAATCTCCCACAATATTTTCATATCACTAACCTAAACCCCAACCCCAAATCTAAAACAAGAAAAAGGAATCAGAAATAAAGCAAGAAAATTGGTCGCATATCTTTTCCATTCAACTGATTATCCTCCCCAAAGAATACCTGGTCACCACCACCAGAAGTTTAACCATCATTTTGCCATTGTTCTGAATGCTTTGGGACATAAGTCCAAAATATAAATCAAAACCAGAA